AGCGCTTTGAGACGTCGAGCAGACCTGAAAAGCGCTATAACAAACACAAGGATTATTAATTATTATTATTGCTCTCGATGAAGCTGAAACCAAAGGGAAAATAATTTCCTTGTTACAAAGAAATCTTTCGTTTTCAGGCCACAATCTTTTGACTGCAGCTTCCGACAAATAAGCTGTAGAAATGTTTGGAAAACGTGCTGATCATATTGGAGAGAGCAGAGCAGAACAGAACTAAAATCTAATTGTCTAAACAAAGGGATGAATAATAGAGTTTGTCATTTTGAAGCTAAAGGGAAGTTTCTAATGTCAGGTTTACGAGCTAAGTTGTGGTGTCAGTTTACAAGGATTCTTTCCTCTCCAGTGAAATCTTTCACAGGTTCCTGTGGGTCGTTGTGAAGGAATTCTCACTAGGATTTCCTTATTGAGGGATCCCATTAAAAATCACAACATGGTTGATGCCTCTAGCTTAACTCTAACTAAAACCTGCTGAGGAGAACATGGCTAAAAATGCAGATTTTGCCTATCCTGACTCTTTGAAAGAGATCAATAAAGAGGGGAGTGTAGACTAGACACACGAATCTTCTGTTATTTTGCAGTATCAGCCGCTGTTTGTTTGAAAAAATGTAACCTCCTATGTTGTGTTCTCCCTAGAAATAATAACCAGCTCTATTTATTTCAGTAGGTTCTGCAATCTATATCACCGCCTTTCTCAAAACAATTTCAGTGTTTCCAGTGGCCTGACCTTGGTAAGGCTTGGGAGAGGGTGAAAGGAATGTGCTGTAAATCAATGACATCATAACGAAGCAAAACTTCATTCATTTCAGCACCAAGAATGTAACTCTCGCAAAACCCAAGAAAACTCCAGATATTTAATAGTGTGTGCAGACCAGAACACACAGGACTGTCTATTGCAGTACCATTGTCCCTTTTGCACAGAGGCAATGTAGTAATTGTGTTTGTAGGTCTACTTTTAGTGCATTTATCAATTTAAATTTGTCGCAGTAAACTAAACCTAGAGTGGCAGCAATCTTGGCTCTGGTTCAAAGCTCGTTCATTGTCAAATACTGCTCAATTTTTTAAATAATAATCTTTTTGAAAATGGCATCCGATCTTTTAGGACTGAGGCAATATGAGCTGGATATAATTGTGCTAAAAATGACTTTTTGTTGAGAAACTTTCAATAAAACTGCAAGTGAATATCCTTTCACATGCATCATCATAATAATCCATTTAATACAGCGCCTTATCACGTCTTCAAGACGTCTCAAACCGCTTCACAGAAGATACTGTAAAGTGAATTGACTGTATATTTTGTGGGCGAAACTCGACTTTAAAATAGTAATATGTGATAATCATTGCATTTGATAAAATGACGCATCACAAAATTGAGACCCCATAAACTGCAGTATGATAGTAGTTTAAGGTGTAAGAAATATTAATTAATATATGATATCTATGTAAATATTTATATATGGACATCTGGACGTAAACACAAAAAGTTAGTTGAAGAGTTCCAGCTGTATATTTAGAGAATAATACAGTAGATACATGAAATTGATTTAAAGTATTCGATTCTGCAATACCAATTTCGGCATATAGCCTTTGCTGTAACAGATATAAGGGAAATCTGTAGCTATTATAATAGAATGGTTTGGGTAGGGATTTGACTAAACACTCACTCACGCGGTGGAAGTGTGTTATAAAGCAATAATACAAATGATATGTTCCAATGACATGGTATCTGTATGACCAAAGCTCAAGTGGTTTATTAATCATATAAAGCTCATGATTGGATTACTGCTGGTAATCCTCTTCCAAACATCTCCTAGCTTCGCGTTAAAAGGATCTATTTTGTTATAAAAAAGCACTGCTCGAGCTGGATTTTGTATCAATCCTAAGAGATATGTTCCAAAATTGAAGTAGTTATTTTCGTATCATGATAACTCATGCTCAATGGACGACCTTGGCCCATAATAATAATAATCCCTGCATTTGATGCAGCGCCTTATTACGTCTTCGAGACGTCTCAAAGCCCTTCACAGGATATACTGTAAAGTGGATTGACTGTATATTCTGTGGGTGAAATGCTAAAATACCACTGAAAACAATTTGAGTGGTTTGGGATCAGTTCTCTTGGAGCATCAGGTGGCAGTCGCTTGTTCTACTGTTTATTGTTTGAAGTTAGTGAGAAATATTAATAACTATTTTCTCCCATAAGAGATGAGTTTCACTCCCATGGGATTCACTGATTCAATCCAAGGGTGTACCAAGTATATATCCAATTCCCTTTTGAAAGTTATTATTGACTCTGCTTCCACAAACCTTTCATCCTTAACCTTCTCTGCTCTAAGGAGAACAATCCCAGCTTCTCTAGTCTCTCCACATCCCTGGTATCATTCTGCTAAATCTCCTCTGCACCCTCTCCAAAGATTATTGCTCATAATCCATATCCAGGCATTTAGTAGTCACACATTCTGTTTTTTTTATTAAAAAAGACACTACTTAAGGCCTGTATTTGCATTACTTAATAGCAAAGTACAGATAAATAATTAGTGACAAAATTGTCATTTTTAAACCAAGAAATTTCAGATAGGAGAGAATTAATGAAGTAAAGCTTTGAGTGTTAGAAGTTTTAAACCATGAAATTAATGTTCTTGCTGGGAATTAATGTGTTGTGTGAAGCTATGTGAGACGGAGACAAGCAGAGATGACATTCCCATGATCGTAGATTATTTTGCTACACTGTTTTGCCGCTATGTTGGCCTGCCTCATGGTTGGTGTGCTAAGCCTTTAGTCATTATAGCTGTCTGACTCTCAGTGACTGCTCTAAGAACACAAGAATTTGCTGGTGAAAGAAGACCAAGGTCCATCTAGTTTGCCTTCCACCATCCTGGCAGTCGCTTGACATGACATATCTCAAACTATATACTGCATTCCCAGATATTATTTTCTAGTAGAAATGATATCTTCTCTGATATATTACCTGATATTACTTTGTAAAACTATTTTCCCTTCACGTAATCTAATAAAACACACTCCTTTATAATTATGCTCTAGACATGTAAAATAATGACAGTACCTTGTTCTAACCACTAGTGATGTAGATGACCATTTAATTCTCAATGGGTCATGATCACTGCTCTGACAGTCTCATACATTAAATAATGAAACACCTTCACTAGTTTTGACCATCATGGTCATCAGTCATTTATCATTTCAGCTCACTAATAATAATAATAATCCTTGCATTTTGACTAAAAATCTCCCCCCATACAAGCACTACAGCAACAACGCTGGATAGCAAAGCAGCTTCCTTCTGTTTGGAACTCCATTTGGAACCCATTGTGTCTTGCAATCCTTTCCAACATCATTTTATTTATTTATTTGCTCCTGTTAATGTAACAATACAACATAGAATAAAAGCGTATGTTTATACCTAAATAAAACAAGTGATTTATAGACACCAAAGTGCATTAACTCACTTAATTTGTTGCTACAAACCTCTGAGTACTTTTGACTGAAAAGCAAATTCCGATTCAGCTTTGAACATCTGATGTGCTGCTAACTCCAAGCATATAATTTATGATTGTTAAAGTGTCAGGAAAATGAGGGGAAAAGAAACATTTGAACGTTAGAAATGACTTCTGTCTATAGCTTTCAAATTACTGTGCTTCTTTCAATCGCATTACATCTTGTTATCAAATAAATCAGAAGAATCCAGGCCAACAATCCCGGTGAAAATTGGCCATCCACTTTATGGCTGTTTGTGGGAACTTGGCTGCACTTGGCTGCCACATTTACCACTCAAATTCACAGTCACTATATGTGACAGCAAGTGCATGAGAAGCTCTTTTGAGGGATTCGGCGGAATAACAAATGCAAAGATTACCTTGATAAGTTATTGAGTAACTACACAATGCAGGCATAGAAATGGGGCAATAAGATAGATCAGCAGGTGTTCATTCCCACAGTGGCCTTTTTTTCTAGCAGATCCAAGAGCAAGTTTTTTTTAATATTTAAAAAAAGATTGCGGATTCTGCCTACGCATGAGGACTTGCACGTGAAAAGCTTGAATTAAATTACGGCCAATTTTAATGGAACCAGCCCTAAGCCATCGGTCATAGAAAGTGCAGAGAGCAAACACTAGATTCAATCCCATAGATAAGGTGAAAAGGTATGTGAGTATGGAAATGCACAACCAATTCTGCATTGGTTTGCATTGGTGCAGAACTCTTTATAGTCAAGACAAACAATGTCATCCACCTAGAACATAGAATATGTTAGCACAGAAGGAGGCCATTGGCCCATCGTGTCTTGCCGGTTCTTTGGAAGAGCTACCCAGTCAGTCTCACTGCCCCGCTCTTTCCCCATTTCCTTGCAAGTTTTTCCTTTTCAGGTACCTGTCCAATTCCCTTCAGAAAGTTGTTATTGAATCTGCTCCCACCATCCTTTCAGGCAGCGAGTTCCAGACCATAACAACTCTGTGTAAAAAAATGTCTCCTCGTCTCCCCTCTGGTCCTTTTGCAATTATCTTAAATCTATGGGCTCTGGTTACCCACACACCCACCAGTGGAAACAGTTTCTCTCTGTTCACTCTATCAAATCCCCTCATAATTTTGAACACCTCTATTAAATTTCCCCTCAACCTTCTCTGCTCTAAAGAGAGCAATCCCAGGATCTCTAGTCTATATCTAGTCTTCTCTTCAATCTGATAATTAAACTTTTGTCAGAACCACAATGCCTACAAGCTGTACGCCAGCATCTGCTAGCCTGGCGTCCCAACACTATCCTCCACAAACTGTATTCCATCTACAACTCCGCAGCTCACCTTCTTTCCAGCATTAGATTTCAAGAGCCTATCAACCCTATTCTCCCTCCCCCATGCTCGGGCCCCAACATCTGACTGTTTGGGATGTCCTCCCGACGTGAAAGGCGCTGTATAAGTGCAATGTTATTGTTGTTGTAGTGCTTGCTCTCTGTAATTTCTATGACCTATGGCTTAGGGCTGGTTCCATTAAAATTGGACGTAATTGGATTCAAGCTTTTTATGTGCAAGTCCTCATGTGTAGGCAGAATACACAATCTTTTTTTAAATACAAAAAACAACGATTCCTATATGTTCCTCCTTAACATATAAGAACGTGATGCAGGGCTTAATGCCGGGCAATAAGCACTGCATCATGTTGGGAAGCATTTTGCTGTCAGATGCGCAGTGGTGTACAATGACAGTAAATGGAATTTTCTGTTCCTTTAAGGGGCGTCATTGGCACGGCAGAGCAGAGGCTGGCTGCAGGTGCAGTCTGGAACGACTGAATGTGGACTGGGTGAGCTTGGCACAATGCCAGCTGGCACACTCAGCGCCGCAGTGACAGAAACCAAAGAAGCGAACGTAAAAGAGCAAAGTAGAGAAGAAAAGAGAAGCAGGGAAAGATGCAGGAGGAGATAGCAACCGAAAGCTAGTACAGGAAACCTCTCATAAATCATGTCATTTGGGTCCGTACATTGAATATGACTTGTGCGAAGTATGAGTTATGTGAAACTTATAAATAATAGCAAATTCAGCGGGACTTGGGCAGTTAATAATAATAATAATAATAATCCTGGCATTTGATACAGCGCCTGATCACGTCTTCGAGACGTCTCAAAGCGCTTCACGGAATATACTGTAAAGCGCATTGACTCTATGTTTTGTGGGAGAAACTCAGCAGCCAATTGCACACAGATGTACAACTTAGGAAGAGAATGAGAATGTGGTCCTGATCGAGGAGATTCAGGGATAAGTTGTGAAATTCTTTAGAAAAAATGGTAGAGAGAGGGTAAGGTTCCTGTGGATGAACTTTGTAAATAAGATATAAAAGGTACATTTTGTAACAACAACAAAATACAACAAAATTATATCTGTAAAGTGCCTTTCATGTCGGGCGGACATATATAAAAATAACCTGGAATGTGGACAAAAAAGAATAAATTGAAAAAACAGAACTCATGGGCAGGCCAGAGCGGCAGCAAATAAAACTGACTTCGTGAAGGAACTCAATTTCTGTGTATTGAATCTGAATAAAGAAGCAGAGATGGAGGAAAGTGAAAGGAAACCCGAGATAGAAATGGGAATAGAGAGACTTTCACACAATGAGTAGAAGGAACCTGCTTTGAAACCGAGCATCAGACAGAATCTGTGCGAGAAAAAGCAATTGGAAAGGAGGCAGGCGGCTTATAATCAACCATAAGTTTAGTTCAGCATAAGGAGAATTATTTCATAGCAGGGAGCCAAGCATAACACAAAGGATAATAAGCAGTTGAGAAAAGACTTAAATAATAATATAATATAATCATAATAATCCTTACATTCGATACAGCGCCTTATCCCGTCGTTGAGACGTCTCAAAGCGCTTCACAGAATATATTGTAAAGTGAATTTACTGTGTATTTTGAAGGCCAAACACGGCAGCCAATTGCGCACAATAGCGTCCGACAAAATGTTGTGGATTGAATGACCAAATTATTATTTATTTATTTTTGGAGGGATTACTACCCCCAAAACAGTGACCATTGTATTGTTGTTATTGCCGATTCTTACTGCATTGCTACTTGTAAGGTATTAAAAACTCACACTTAAGCTAATGTGCTTTAATGCTGTGCCCCTATGTGTGAAACTCTTAATTCATCACCTCAAACTGCTCCCATTTCTACCATCCAAGTGACAGACATATAACCACAAGTCATTCACCTCAGCCTTCTGTAGTTCTAAACGCTCTCCCAAGTATGGAAAGAGAAAATCTATAATTGCTTTGCTGGTTGTTTTTCACAGTTTGAATAGACGTGGTACAATAAATTCACTTGGCTACCATAATGTTTCACTGAAATCCTACTTGACAGCACTGCAATATACACCAAGACTTAAGCTGAGCTCAGCTCCAAAAGGTCTTTACTACTTAATGCTTTGTGTAAACTAACAACTAAACTTTTTTGTGTACTTCACAACATGGTGAAGTCCTGTAATGTATTGGTTAGAGCACTCGCTTCGCAAACGAGAGGATCTGGGTTTATTCCTGAGCAGAGCGAAACGTTGGGCAAGTTTCCTTGCTTTTCACGCCTCTGTGTACCGAGCAGTAAGTAGGAATCCAGTTGTTAGTCGATTAACCCGGGGTAATAATTCCTTCAAAAATACAGTAAAATAAAAATAAACTAGGTCACTCAATCCACGACTGTCTGGGACGCTGCTATGCGCAATTGGTTGCAGATTTCTCCCACAAGTATACAGTTAATTCACTTCACAGTACATTCTGTGAAGCGCTTTGAGATGACTTGAAGAATTGATAAGGCGCTGTATCAAATGCAAAGATTATGCTTATTCTGGTCTTGAATTCAGCCCCCTTTGTTACTTGACTATGTTGAAGGGATACTGCCTTCATGCTTTAACATTATTCCCCAACAATTTGATCAAATTAGTTGTGCTTTTACTCAATAGTCGACCGTAATATTAAAAAAATTACAATAATCTTCAAAATGCTGTGTTGACACTTACAAATACTCGCAGCCTGACTGTACGTTTGTTCGTTGCTGTTTGTTTCGAGAAAATTTATTCCCAATAATTTTTGCAGTTGTCAAATATTGCTGATATTTTTAGACAGCAAAATGTTTTTTTATTTTAAATAATGCATATTGAGAACGCTGTTTTACTGCAACACGCAGGGAAATAAAATCTTATATTCACCGCATTTCAATCGCACCTTACAAAAGCACTTCAGTTTGGATGACATGATCCAGTCGATGAAAGTTGTTTTCTATTTTAAATGAACTCTGCTATGGGATTCAACCAGAAAAAAAAATAACTGAAGGTGTAAATTTTAGAAGGAATAATGCAGTGAATAAACCTCACTCTGAAAGTTTATATCCTTCAATATATATAGCTTCCTTGCAACCCGATCTATCGGGTGTGGTATTTTACGATTATCGGACAATGCAGTGAATTATCAGGATTATTAATAATAATGCTTGCATTTGATATAGCGCCTGATCACGTCTTCGAGACGTCTCAAAGCGCTTCACAGAATATACTGTAAAGTGAATTGACTGTAATTTTTGTGGGCGAAACGCGGCAGCCGATTGCGCACAGCAGCGTCCTCACAAACAGTCGTGGATTGAAGTGACCAAATTCATTATTATTATTATTATGATTATTAAGAATCTTGTCATCCTGAGAATACTGCATAGTAAATACTATCTCTGATTTCCTATTACTCTTCACATAGCCGTGAAACATGGCGAGAATCAGACAGGAACAAGGCATCCTCAAGCATAGACATGACTCGATAGACATGGCTAGGGTGGATCTGACCCACCTCTCTATCTCCTGGGAGAATGTTATCACATTAATACCCCCAGATTGTCTCACAGGCAATAAATTAACCACTTTGGAAGTTTCATCGATAACCACTCGACTAATCTGGTTTCCTCGTCCCTCAAGACAAGATTCCCGCCCCATTCTCCCCCGGGTAAAGCAGGAGCACGGAAAAATCAATGTGTTCCTTGCAGCACTTGTACATTTCAGTTTGAACCTATCCCTATATTACCCCAATACTGTTCTCAACCAGAATGCTAAACCGGTTTGTTGTGACTAACAGTTAATGCTTTTGTCGATAACATATGCACTGCAGTGATTTTAGCTGATATGTCGAATCTGGTTGAATGTTGCTGTTGTGGTCAACGGTACCTTCTAAGTCTTTGATAATCCCACCAAGACACCTTTATTCTGCACGTATTCGTGTTACATTTCAGACCCTTGAAAGTTGTAATGTGCAATGCATAAACCATTTTATTTGACTATATATGAATTATTTATACGTAGCGCAATGGATTCGTTGAGTGATTACAAGGTAGTAATCGAATTGGAGAGGTTCAGATGCTTTATGCATGTAAAATAACGGATGCCTGGGAGTGATTACAAGGCGGTGAGCTAATTGAGGGGCTTTGTAACTGTCACATAACTCGAAAATTGCATTTCTAGGCCTTGAAATTCCACCAGGGCATGTTGCTGGTTATTTTTATAATATTATATTATTTTCTTTGTGGGGAACTTTTATTTTCTTTTATTTTATTTCTACCAACTGGTCCACGTCCACGTGGGGGGCAAGGTGACCAAAGGCGCGGTCGAAAAGAAAGGTCTTCAGCAGAGACCTAAAATGGGAAGGGAGGGAGCGAGACGACGGGAATGAGGAAGGCAGGCTAACACTAGAGTGTGAGCGGAGGTTCCTCGGTTTGATACTGGCACAGCAAAACTCCGATGATGAAGTCTTGGTCTTCCAACTGTAACAAACCCTCGTAATTGCCACGGTACTGATGCCACTAGCCTAATATGGTATGAAATTGCTTTAGAAATGATTTTCTGTGCTCTTCGAAAGCTGATTAAATGTCTTAATTAATTAACTTGTGTTAACTTCAAAGTGCACATTTTTTTTCATATTTTTACAGTCTGGAATTAAAGCACATGTTAAACATTTCCTGTGGACTTTCCGCCCCTCCATAACACCCTGTTCCCTCTTTAGTTTGTTCTTCTGTTGTTTCTGCAGTTCCCGATAATGCTGATCTGGTGATGAGGCAGTTTGCAGTGACTCTGATGTCTGTACCTGTGCTGAGCTGTGTGATAGCCTGGTTCAGTTGCCCAGCGCCTACACAAATACAGTCACTGAACTTTACAGTGAATCCTGTGTAAAGCTTTAAGACGTCCTTGTAACATGAAAGGCATTATATAAAATACAAGCCTTATTATTATTGAGCAAGCACCTTCTAGACTTCAATTCTTTCCTCTTAGCCTTTCTCTATTGAAGCTGCCCGCTTGGCGATGGTTGCCTGACTTAAATGTTTTTTTTTAACATCTTAAAAACCCAGAGACTTTGTATCAGCAGGCTGTGTGACCATGGGGGCTCCCGTCAGCGCCTGACATCCACATATGTGCACTTCCACTAAGGAGCCCTGGATAATAGACAGGAGTGCAAACCCAAGCCAATTCTCTCTTCTCCTCCCGTTCCCAGCTCAGGGGTACTGTAGCATGACCATGGCTGAGACTCTCTGTGCATCAACCACAGATTGAACTTGGGGTCTGTTTGGCTCGGTGCTAGACCACAGGTGTATTTCCGCTCGGAGTCTGCGGAGAGCTGCCAAAAACTCTGGAGGATTATTAAAAAAAAATTGAATTGCTGGAAGTAGGTCATGCACAATCAAATTACTGGCTGCCTTGATCTTTTTCCTTTTTGTTCGTCATTTGAACATTTTAAAATTACTTTAGCATAAAACGCTGTTTAACAGAATGAAAAGCCGGGTGATAGTCTCATAAAGCATCTGATGAAGCAGAATTCGCTGCGCGCAGATGATGTTTAAAAAAGAGAGAGAGAGAGAGGCTGCACCATTTGGATGCTCTCCGAGCCCCATAGTCTCTCTGTTGTGAAGCCCACAGCAAAGCTCGCTGTCCAGATGCCGTGTGTTTAGCACACGCTCCTTCCACCTCTGGGACCTGTGTTCGAATCGAGCCAAAATGTGTGGGGTAATAGTCTCTTCTGTCTGTTCGCTGTAAGTTTCCTATTTGAAGTGATTTTGAGCCGTCGTAAGCCAGTTCTTGGGGCGTGCAGACACATTGAATGATTTGGCATTAAATTGCCATTCTCATTAAAGAGACTGCAGGATGGCCATCGTGGGAAATGTAAAACATCACATTGCTGCACATCAGAGGTTAGAGCAGAGGCAGAGTTGTACACTGCGTCTCCACTTCTGTAATAATAATAATAATCCTTGCATTTCATATCGTGCCTGATCACGTCTTCTGAGATGTCTCAAAGCAATTCACGGAGTATACTGTAAAGTGTAGTGACTGTACATTTTTGTGGGCAAAATAGATGTACACGATTGAGTTTCTTGATGCTGACATTGAGTAACCAAAGTGAGAAAGTATTTCATTTTCCATTGTGTTCACCTCACGCACACAAAGCTTAGCAAACCTTTCAGTTTCACAGTGCTCCCTCGACTTCAGTTCCTTAATCTCCTCTGTACGGCCATTTAAATGTGGATGTGGGAGAGAGACGGAGAGTCTATTGACTACAAACTAAAAGTTGAGGCCAGTCATAAGAAAATAACTTTGTTTTATGGGAATTGTGAATGGAAAGTGGAATGTTAACGTATCTATTACAGGTAGAAGAATCATAGAATATTACAGCACAGAATAATAATAATAATAATAATAATCCTTGCATTTGATATAGCGCTTTTCACGTCGGGAGGACGTCCCAAAGCGCTTCACAGTACACACTGTAAAGTGAATTGACTGTATATTTGTGGGCGAACGCGGCAGCCAATTGCGCACAGCAATGTCCCACAAACAGTCGTAGATTGAAAATGACCAATTTATTATTGTTTGGTTTTGGAGGGATTATTATTAGGCTCTGTGTGGAGTAAGGAAACTTGCCCAAGGTTTCCCCCTGACCTGCCTGGAATTGAACTCAGGTCTCTCACTTGCAAAGCGAGTGCTCTAACCACTGAGCTACAGGACTCCAGAAGGAGGCCATTCAGCCCATTGTGCCTGTGCCAGCTCTTTGGAAGAGGAGCTACCCAATCAGTCCCACTCCCCCGCTCTTTCCTCCGTATCCCTGCAAAGTTTTCCTTTTCAAGTACCTGTCTAATTCCCTTTTGAAAGCTGTTATTGAATCTGTTTTCACCGACCCTTTCAGACCGTGCATTCCAGACCGTAACAACTCTCTGTGTAAAGAAATTTCTCTTCATCTCCCATCTGGTTCTTTTGCCAATTATCTTAAAATGAAAACTGATAATATCTCCAACTCTATGGTGGAAAGCAAATCACCAGCGAGCTTAAGAGTAGAGATGCCAAGAGCCTGGACTGAAATAAAGCCTGATGTGTCACATGTCTTTTGCAGAGAACACAAGGTGCCTGGGTTAGTAAAGCACTGCGGAGAGTCTCGTTACTGCAGCACCAAGAGAGAGACAGAGGGCAGCAGCGACTGGGAGCGGAGTGGGGAGAAGCTCTTGGAGAATCTGCCGGGAAGCTTTGGAGAAATTCATTCATTCATTCGCTCAGACCATGGCTGAGAAAAGTTCCGAAGCCGTGCTGGTAAGGGCTCTGCAAATGAATTCTTTATTTCATTTTGTTTCGTTCGTGATGTGTCGCTGTTTTTAACCCGAGAGAGAGAGAGGGAGTTTTATTAATGTGGTATAAACTTTTCTTTCCCAGTCTCGCTGATAGTCTGATATGTTGCATTTAAAATGTCCTTCGCTAACAGCAAACTTTATTTTGTTTCGTTCGGGATCTTTGCTGTTTATGTTTTTTTTTACAAAGTGCAGTGTTATTTTTCATTCAATTATAAAACTAGTTTCTGAAGGGATCTGTCACACGGAGAGTCTTAGGCTGAAAGCTTGTTGCTCAACACCTCGTGAAGCAGCTTACTCTGGAACAGTAGTGGGTTGTACCACTTCACTGCCTATCTGAAGCATGTGTGTAAATCAGTACGGCTCTTTTTCCCCCTGCGCTGTTCTCTCTCTGCTCAGGAACATTGAAAGTGTTGACTGAAGGTAAATATTTACTCCATCCTGGTCAGTGTCCTCTGACTTTCTTCGACCAAACCCTTTGCGATCTCATCCACAGGACAGCTGTCCAGCCAACAGTGTCAAGCACTTTGAGAGGTCCTCTGAAAAGGGCCCATGCTTTACACCCTGATTACTCACTCGTGTGCAGCGCTGCAAATGAAACATGAAGGGACGAACGTTTAAAAGAAACCAATTTCTGCTGCGAGATTTGGTCGCATTTATTCTTAGGAAACATCTCTCGCTCTGTACCACAAGTCACTTTGGGTGGAAATCTAGATCCCTCCGAGGTGATGGCAGGTCAGGCAAGACGTGACACAAATCATCTTTAAGAAGGGTGCGGAGAACTCCATTTTACAAATCATATGGTACTTCTTTCACACCGTCTATTGTAATCACATCCATTAGTAGGATCTCTGTCCCTGCGGTGAAATCTTTACCAGACATATGCTCAGTAGAATTGAGTCTGAACAATTCTGACAGCCTGACACTGTTTTGCCTACTTCTGTTCGAGATGTTTTACATTCCTTCTTTACGGGAGAGCACAAGAAATTTTCTCTGTTGCTCCTTTCTTTCTTGAGGTGCCCTGTTTGTACCAAACCCACCAGCCTGGCCCGGTCTGGTGATCTGGTCTCAGCCCTCGCCACACATCCTCTGTCCACTCCCAGAGATGATAAGGACAACAACAACAATTTGCATTCACACGGCGCCCCTTGGGCAGGTTAGCGTCCCAGAGCGCTTGACATTGGCGGAGCCGGGGGGAGGGGGGGAGAGGGGGAAGGTGACCTTAGACACTGGTTGAAGAGGAAGCTCTTCAGGAGCCACCTGAAGATGGGGAAGGAAGGGGCAAGGCGGAGGGATAGAGGAAGAGCGTTCCAGACCTGTCAGCCATTCATTTGTATCACTTTCCGTTTGCTACGAAACAAATGTCTTTCAAATGCGAACCACGTGAAGAATATCTTTCAATAACAAAAAGGAAACGGCACAAATGGGGCAGCCTGTCAGAGTTGTTTTCGTTTGTTTAGCCTGGAACAGTCCTTGTTAAAAGGCTCGCACTCTAACATAGCTTAGAAGCTGTACTTAAAGGGGGCATTGTCTTCATGAAAAAGTCTTTGGCAAATCCTTTCTTGCTCAGTTACAGACACATGATTGGGATGTAAATCGTGTTAAAAATCATCATTGTATCACTTGCCCATGAAGGGATCAGACACAAACAGTGCACAGTTCTCCTGTCTCGTCCTTCTGCAAACAAAATCAAGCTCAATTATGCCCTTTAGCAAGGCTTTGATTCTGAGAATTTTGTGTTCAAAGCTGATATCTTCCCATTATTTATTTCTTCCTGTAATACACAATATTCATCTTCATCCCTTATTCTTTCTTTCTCGTCTTAGATAATAATAATAATTTGGTCACTCAATCCACGACTGTGTGTGGGACACTGCTGTGCGCAATTGGCTGCTGAGTTTTACCCACAAAATTTACGGTTAATTCACTTTACAATATACTCTGTGAAGCACTTTGAGACGTCTTATCGACCTGATGAGGTGCTGTATCAAATGCAGGGATTATTATTAATATAATTCTATCCTTCTCTTCTTTAACCCTCATTCAGTCTGTCTCCCACCCAGTTTCACTGCCAGTCACCTGAAAGCTTCAACAATCTGGCGGTATTTGCACAAAGCTTTCAATGGCAAATAATCCAAGGTGTGAAAAGGCAGTTATTATTAGTCGTATCCCAATAACCTACTCAACAAGAACCACAACAATAATAATAGTTCTTGCATGTGATATAGCGCCTTATCACGTCTTCGAGACTTCTCAAAAGCGCTTTACAGAATATACTGTAAAATGAAGTGACTGTATATTTTGTGGTATATTTTTAAGCTAAACTAAATAGTGTTTCCCCCTACCAAACCGCCCGCTCCCTCCGCTCAGTCGGCTCTGGCTGCTCCACGTCCCCCGCCCCACCATTGGCGGGAGAGCCTTCAGCCACTCTGCCCCCAACCTCTGGAATTCCATCCCCCAATCACTCCGCCTCGCCCCCTCCTTAGCCTCCTTCAAGTCCCGCCTCAAGACCCTCTTCGTCTATGCCATCGGCCACCCCCCTTCCCCTCCCCTCCCTTCTCCCCCCTGACCCCAGCTCGGGTCTGAAATGCTGAACAGTGTCCAGCGCCTTGGGACGTCCTCCCGACGTGAAAGGCGCTATACAAATGTAATCGTGTTGTCGTTGTTGTTTCTTAATGTTCAGTTTTAAACATTCAGTGGTGCAGGAAGCGGGAGGAGGGGGGGTAGGGGTGGTGGAGAAGGACATACATCACACACACTCAGCTGTGGAGACCAGGTGTGTTTCGAGAGACCTTTGCTATTGGCCTCAGGAGAAGCAGACTGTGGGACCCAGGGACTGCACACTGAGGTTCAGCTGTTTGCTTTGCTTTGCAGCCCACATTGGTGGAGTAAATTCTGCTTCGTCTGATTCTGTTTGAGGCTGTTGCCCAGTTTCTGATGGTGAGGAATCCCTTTGGATTTTTCAAGCTCCTTAGTGTTTTGAAGCCTAATCGCCACTGGAATTGCTTCTCATGGCGCACATATCTATTAATATCTAATATTTATCAACATATTTTAAAAAATAATAATAATTTGGTCACTGAACTCATGACTGTTTGTGGGAACGCTGCTGTGCGCAATTGGCTGCCGCATTTCGTCCACAAAATATAGTCAACTTTACAGTATGCCCTGTGAAGCGCTTTGAGACGTCTCAAAGACGTGATAAGACGCAATATCAAATGCAAGGATTGTTATTATTATATTACACTAACACTTATCTATTAACATATTACACATGAACTGTTAATGCATATATTACGCATCCTGTTCTTGGGTCCTTCTGAATAGGGTGTTCTTGGCACTTAACGGATAGATTATCAAACTCTTTTTGAGCAAATGATCATTAATTAAGTCTGCATTCCAAGAACCAGTTGAACTTGGCAATATAATAATTACATATCTATCTATTATTGGTGGTAATGAATGTTGCAACCTGTTTTACTCTTGAACAAGGGAATTGAAATTGCAGTTTATATGTTAATCAGCTCTCAGCCCTGAATTCCAACATAACACACAGTGGAACATTAATAGTATCCATAGTGATGGATTTGACTTTGCCTACGGTCACCTCCCACTCCCCCGGCCCGGCATTGTGCTCCGCCACTGTCGAGCTCTCTAGAACACTACCCTGCATGAGGGGCGCTGTACAAATGCAAGTTGTTGTTGTTGGTGGTGGTGGTGTCCATCACTGTGAATGCTCTCCGAATAAGAACTCCTTTGACTGGTGATACGAATCCTGGGTTCTGCAAGGCACAAACGTCACCTGTCTAAACCTTGGTCTATTTTGGATGAAATGCCTGTGACCATGTTATGAGAACTTGTCGAATTGACCTCTCCTCTCACACTCCTCTTCTCCTAACAGAGACGTTTACACCCCAGAGTCATCAATGTCTCTCTCTCTCTCTCTCTCTTCACTGAGCCAACCCTGACATTGTCCTTCTGAAAATGGAGTTGGGAAATTATGGATGTATTCCATGTTATGGACTTTCCAAATAGGGAGTTGAGAGACTGATTTTATCTCACAATCTAAAAGCCTTGGGATGTTTGATTAGACTTGTTGATAAGAGACTCACATTGACAGGCACGTGGAGTGTATGACATCTTTCAAACTTTGGACAGATGGTGTGTGCACAATAGGTCCTGTTTCTATCATCTTAAAATATGAAGGGTTTGGCTTAATGCAGACAGTGGGATAACAGGATTATTCCCTTTGCTGTTTGCCCTTTGTTATTGAGAGGTTTCTGTTCTATTCTGTTGTGTTTCGAGGTCTGGTTGTTTCGAAGGAAAAGGACTTTAAAAATAGCTTATTAAAGCTTTACAGTATTCTGCACCTGGCTTGGTGGTTAAGGAGACAGCTCCCTCAGGCTCATTGGGTTTTGTTTAGTAAGTCCCTAGTTTTTGTTCATCAGCTACTGGCAGGTTTTTAAAACGGATAAAAATCAAATGAATTACCATCTTTATGTAGAATATTTCGGCCCTCAATTTTAATAGGGCTACGTTGAAGATCGCGACAACAGCAACAACAAAAATGGACTTTCAGGTTTATTTTGATCTCATTAATCCCTTTAAACAGTGACCCCCATTTTTGAACACTGTCTGATTGCTTTCATCTTGAGTTTGATTTTAAATGCAACTAAAATTAGAGCTGATGTAAAATCCAAATAATGTTATTGCAAAGAATTCACCACAACCAAGAGGTCCATTTCTGTCTCTTTATTATTGATTGGCCGGTGGGGGGGCAGGAGGTGAGGATGGAGAAGAGTCAGACACTGGGAATCACAGTGGTTTAGGCATGAATCACTGGAAACATGGCTGAACTCAGCCCAAACTGATGGAGTTAACATCTCCGTGTGTTTGATGGCTGTAAAATGTCCGATGTGAAATGAGTTTGTGCAGTCTCATCCAGAGAGGTTGCAGAATAGTCAG